TTAAAATCATGCACAACATACGCAAAAAAAATTACATTAAAAATAACTACACGTCAAACAATTTGCATGATGTCATTTCCATATATTTTGCCATCAAATGCAGCAGCTGTATTAATGTTATTTCTTAAAAGTATAGAAATGACATCAATAACATCAACAACAATATATATCATCAAGACTTTACTAAAAAACACCGAAAAACCAGACAAAACATCTGGTATGACAACATTTATAACAGCCATTTTAACAAAACTTAAGCTGACTACAGCACTAACTAAATCATTAGCAACATCAATAACATCAACAAGCATAATTAGCAATATGTCAGCTAATGATAGGCGAGTAGCGAGATGCGTAATAAAACCTGCAAAAAAGTTTCTAGGTGAGATTATTTTCAGATTTCAAAATTATGCATTAAAGGCAATACCAACAGCAAATCCGACAACTATTTTAATGATAGTAATAATAATAAAAATAATAACAAAAATAAAAAAAATAATAATAATATTATTATTATGGTGGATGAGTAGTAAACGTATTTTCTTTCTATCTTTTATCCTCCAATTACACTGTATAAAATTGATGTCATCATGTTTCGTAACATTAAAGTTACTGACATCATCAAAAAATTGGATAAAAGTTACGTTAAAAACATCAGAAATATTAACAACATCAATAAAAGATTCCGTACATTTAACGCGAAACAAATTAATGTCATTAAATTTGGCCAAAACGAAATCGTCCATAAAATCAACATTAATAACAACATCAACAACAACAATAACAACACCAACAACAACAATATCAAAGCCAGCAAAACCAGCAGCCGATTCAATGGCCGATTTAACTTTATTTACGAAATTTGCATCCAAATCAAAAGCCAACAAGTTTGAAAAATTTACGACATTTTCAACAACTGCAACAACAACAAAAACTACAATAACGTTTCAATGGATTTTGAAACTTGCCGTGTTGTTCCTTCTACAATTCGACTCTACAATTGCGATTGTAAAAGGTTGATATGTTGATTACATTATGTTGATTCGTTGATAACATTATGTTGATCTGCTTGATATTGATTAACTTATTCTAAACTATTTATTTGACGTTATTTATATCCTATTTATTAAAAAATGAACCATATTTCAACATTTAACATTGGTAACGTTTTATAGGAACTACTGAAATTAAATGAACGAACGAATGGTTACATTGCAGTTTATGTTACCGACCGCATATAATACCAACAAACAAACAACAACAACTTAAAAACCCACAGATGACATCAATAAAATAACAAAGATAACATTAATGTGTAAGCAAAAAAACGTTTAGAATTTTCAAATTTGAAATTATGTCATTGTTTCGGGAAAGCTAGTAAATGTGAACTGAGCATCGAACATAATGGAAACATGCATTTTTAACTTTTAAACAAAAGACAAAACATTTGATTAAATTGAAAAAAAAGAATTAATAGATGGAATGATAGGTTTTTGTTATTATTTAATATTTAGTTAAAAATTATCACAAGTCAAATAATAAAACGAAACATTTCACAAACTTAACAACTGATAGACGGTGCTCGCTTGGGTTTTTTCGGCTAACTAACCAACCGACCAACCAACCCACCTCAATAAATCAATCAATCAATAAATCAATCAATAAATCAATCAATCAATCAATCAATCAATCAATCAATCAATCAATCAATCAATCAATCAATCAATCAATCAATCAATCAATCAATAAATCAATCAATCAATCAATCAATCAATCAATCAATCAATCAATCAATCAATCAATCAATCAATCAATCAATCAATCAATCAATCAATCAATCAATCAATCAATCAATCAATCAATCAATCAATCAATCAATCAATCAATCAATCAATCAATCAATCAATCAATCAATCAATCAATCAATCAATCAATCAATCAATCAATCAATCAATCAATCA